TGTAACGACCCGAAATCCGGCTTAGTAGTTAGCCGTAATTTTAATAAAAATAAATATAATATTTAATTACTCTAAAATATGGATTAATTGTAAAGTTATCCGTTTTAGATGAAAATTGGGTTTTCGGATAGATCTCGAAAAATGGTAACCAACGGTATATAGTTTGTTTGATTTGGACTTATGTATAAAGCGTGGTGAGTAAAATAGATATTACAGTTCAATATAAGAATATAATAATAAAATAATAATTAACCTAATCCTACCCACACCCGTAAACCACATTCCCCTAAATATATACTCCGTATATATATATATATATATATATATATATATATATATATATATATATATATATATATATATATATATATATATATATATATATTAGCCCTAACCTACACACACGCACGGAAGAAAAGAAGGAAAAGAAGAGAACGCACAGTGCCGTACGAAGAAGAATTTGACCGCGGGGAGCTGATCGTCCGCTGTTGTAGGCCGCCGCCGAGTTCGCCGGATACTTCGCTGCTTCGCTGGAGATCGTGCCACCAGAGGGGCTGACCGCTGCCGTCGTCCTTCGGTTGATCAGTTTATTTTAGTTCGTCTTCAATTAATAGAGGTCAGAACTTGCACAACAAACGCGAGATTATGTAGATGGATTTGAAATTCACGTTCGTAATTTCGTATAATTGATTACGTGGTTTATTTAGTTATAATTGAATTATGCTTTATCTATAATATATGATAATATTGGGATTGATTGAACAAGAATGACCAGGTACGTTTCTTACTCTAAATTGTGTGATTTGCATGACGGTAAGTGGAAGGTGTTTACACCCGACACTAGGCCGCTATCTATTTGTTGACTATGAATGTTATTTAACATATTGTGTTCTTGTATGAATTTGGAAATATGGAATTATGAACTCGAATACGGATAGGCTACCTAGATGAATCATACGTAGACTGAGAAAACAGAATAAAGAGTACAATTAGGAATAACTGGTCATGTGATGAGCCGGCGTGCACGCATGATCAGTTGGGTAGAGCGTGCGCACGGGGGTCATAGATCTGCTCATGGATGTGAGTAGGTGGTCCCACCCAGCCGACGTTGGATGACGTCGTATCGAGCGGGTTCTTCCATGGATGTGGTTGGATCAGGACTCTAGAATAAAGTAGTTGGCCTTAGCCTAGGATAGGTTATGAGCCTAGAGATAAAGAAGTGGATTATGAGATAAGTTTGTTATTTATGGTAATTATGCTTAACTGGTGAATTATATGATATTATTGATGTTGTGCTTATGTGCATGATATTGTATGGAATTATGAGCTAGTGAGTTCGTCTATGTGCGTAATCGAACGTTAGATAGTTCCACTCAGCTTCAATGCTGAGCGTGTAGCCCTTTTTCCTATTTGCTACACGTAGGTAACAGGAACGATGAATAATGAGACGATCTTGGAGGCAGCGGGGGTGAAGAGATGGATGGATGCTGGCTGGAGGAGTTTATTATCTAATACTTAAGTTTGAATTATTTATGTTTTAAAGGGCAAGAACCCAAAGTTGTATTTTGATCAAATACTTAAAGGCTTCCGCACCGTTTTATTAACTCCGATGAATGTTTTAAATATTGTTTTGAATTAAATGTTTTAAATTGTTTTGAGAATTAATGTGTCTAAATACCAATTTAGTGACCACCCGGTCCGCTGGTCCTTGTATTCGGGTCACGCGGGTTGGGGTGTTACATTTTGGTATCGGAGTAATTGGTTTTAAACCCGGTCTTCGGACTCTTTTTAAAAAAAATTAAAATAAAAAAAAATATATATTTTTTTTAAAAAAAGTTGATTCAGTTGCAAGGTACTTCAGCAGCAGCATCCGCATCTCTCGCAACTCCTCTGTCTCAGGAAGGTAATGAAAGTTGATTATTTGTTTACTATGAGTTAGCATTTAATTAGAAAAGTTGATCTATATATAGAATGAGCGAAGCTTCGAACAACCAAAAGGAGACCCAGGACATGGAACAAAACGTGGAGGCTCAGCAGGACCCGGTTATGCCTGCGTTCCTGACGCAATTTCTGCAGCAAATGGCGAATGCGCCAATGTTCCAGCCACCGCCTCCACCGCCTCCCAGGCAAATCACGTTGAAAATGCTGAAGGACAATGGTGCTGAAGAGTTCCATGGGGATAGGATCTCTGATCCCCAGATTGCACTAGACTGGATTGAACAGACAGAAAGAGTGTTGAAGAATCTGAGTGTTCCAGACGCGAGACGTCCTGAGCTTGCTTTCCAGCTCCTTCGTAAGGGAGCATACGAGTGGTGGAAGCGCGCAGATGAGAAAACGCCTAAGCCTTGGACATGGGAGCATTTTGATTGGGCATTCAAGAAGGAGTACATACCAGCTCGCTTCAGAGAGGAGAAACGCACGGAGTTCATGGAGCTGAAGCAAGGAGACATGACTCTCCCCGAGCTTCGACAAAAGTTCGATCACCTAGCTCAGTTTGCGACTACGCTGGTATCCACGCCGGCAGACCGTATTGAAGAATTTCGCAAGAGGCTGCGTCCCGACATTCGGCCATACGTGTCCATCCTGACTACTACGGACTTTTCTC